AAATCCCATATACTTGTTCACGTGTCGTAAAATATTACTTCTTTTGATTTTTTCAAACATTTAAAATATAAAACCCTCCTTAGCCTGCAGACCATCTAAACTGAGCTCTCTAACTTTTCATCCCCCGCAAACTCGCTGCATGTTCAGCTAATAACCGAACAAAAAGGCTTGAATCAGTGTTCACTGAATTGAACCAAATGGGGATTTGAACAAACACAGTAATTTTTTTATCAGCAAAAACTTCTTGGAATTTGAATCTTATAGAAACCCCGTTTGGAACAAATGGTGTTTTATTAGTAAAATTTTATGTTACGGGTTCAAATGGGTAACATTTGTGAATTTTGATGAATATAAAAATCAAGGGAAGGGCCAGATGGCTGTGTCGAGACTCTCTTTGATTAAACTGTCCAGATGCTTTGAACGAGGAGAGAGAAGGAAGTTTCTGTTCCAAAGCAGAGCCACTGACGTATGTAGGGTGATTTATATCCTTATTCATAAATATCAAAGTCAGACAAGAAGCATAAAAAACTTCCAGTAAATGACAAATACATCATCATGACAGAGCATGTCACAAGGTATCTTTAAACAACGGGCTCTCAGGGCTGTGACAGGGCAGGTTACAGCTATTCTCCCACAAGTTTGTGGGAGTGGGGAAAGCAAACCTGAATTTTCAAAAGAGCCATGCAGGAGACAAACTTCCTAACCACTGGCATATCTGCAAAAAAAATGCAAACTCGGGGACTTGCCGGAGAAGCCTGATTCCCAGGTGGGCACGAAGGGAAAGCAAGTGGAAGCCCAACGTAATGCGCAAATGGTCTCCATGGGAGAGCGCTGAGTGTGTTTTTGAGCATCTGAATGTTTACATTTTTATTACAGCTTTTTAAACATTTAGAATGTTCAGATTTTAAAGTTGCGGTAAAATGCATGTAACATAAAATTGCCATTCTTCCCATTTTTAGTGTAGAATTCGGTGACATTAAGTGCATTCGGATTGCTGTTCTTTTTCATCATCCCAAATATTAAGAAATAGCTCCCCATTCCTCCCTCTCCAACCCCTGACAACCACCACCCTACTTCCTGTCTCCGTGAACTTGACTATCCTGGGTAGCTCGTCTGAGTGGAATGATTCAGTATTTGTCCTTTCACGACTGGCTAACGTTAAGTAACTCAGCATGCTTCCAAGGGTCAGCCGTGTAGTTGTATCTATCAGAACTCCCCTCCTTTTAAGCCTCACTAACATTCCAGTGGATGTGTGGGCCACACCGTTTACCCATCACCCATCAGTGGACATTTTTCCATCTCATGGCTACAGTGAGTAGGGCTGCTATGAACATTGATGTTCAAGGATGCGAGTCCCTCCTTTCAGTTCTTCGGGGCATATATTGAGGAGCGGAATTGCTAGATCTTACGGCATTTCCGTGTTGAATTTTTCTGAGGACTCTCCATACTGTTTTCCACAGAGGTGGTGCCCACCAGCAGTGCCCACGGCGTTCCAACTTCCCCACATCCTCACCAACAACTGTGTGTTGTCTTTGTTCGCTTGCTTCATTCAATAACCATCCTCATGGGTGTGACTCAGGAAACATTTTTAATGAGGTTTGAGTTGAATATGTTTAGTCGTGGAAGCACCTTCACATCACTTTTCCACAGACCAGTCTGAAAGCTGGGCTGGGTTCCTTACCCCCACCCCAGAGTGTGTGATTTAGGAGTAACCTTCCTTGGCTCGGCTCCAAGAAGTGAGAGGGGGACTGACTTCAAGCTGGAGGCGAGACCAGGAGAGGAAGCCATATCTCCCCTCACGGACTGGTGTCCAGAGCCCACGAGGGGACCAGCGACCCCCAGGTTACGTAAGAAATCACCCCAGTCCAGCCTTCCCCTCTCTCTGAGCAAAACTGGGTTCTGAAGACAAGCAGAAGGGGGAGGGGGTGCAGAGTCTGTGAGGTCACCACACTCACCTTGGGCGTCACCCTTCGTCTCTCTCATGTACTTGCTTTGTTGTTATACTTTTCACTCTTCCTTTTTTACATAAGAAACATAAACACTTCCCTGTCCTAAGTAATTCCTTCAACACAGAAGCGTGTGGCGTAAAACTATGGAGGTGCCCTTTACTGCCCTCCCAGAAGGAGACTGTCTCTCTCGGCCTGTCCCCTCCGGCCTTCGCGCATGTGCACATGGTCACACACACGGGCGCTTTGCTTCCGTTTTCACACAGGTGGGAGCTTGTCCCACTCCGCTCTCAGTACTCACAGACCCACTTCATTCACTGGAGCAGCTGAGTGTTACCCACCGGGTGGGTAGCCCATTCCTCTGCAGCCCAGCGAGCTTTTCAGTCCCCTGCCTTCTCCCCCGGCTGGTTGTAAACATCCTGAGGGCACAGCTTTCCATCTCCTAACACTTGATACACATTTTCCTACAAAGTGAAAGTCAATGCATAGTTACTGACGGGAAGAGTCTCCCCCCGTCCCACATGGATGCTGTCTCAGGGCTCCCGACCGCTAGGGGCGGAGCCCTTCTCCGAGTCAGGAGGGACCCGGCACCACAGTCCATCAGTGTGTCGCTCTTTTGTCTGTCGACACCGTGACGAGTCAATCTGCTAGCCAGGGCGAGCTGCCCAGTTCCCACTGTTCCCTTGGCAATGTTTTCTGGGTTCGGGGTGGTGCCCGGCCTCAGTCCCCCAGAACAAGTAGCCCGAGAGCTTGGGATACTCACGGTTACACATTATCTCATTGTCTGGCCCACCTGGGAGCACGGGGCCGCGTTAGTAGCAGCCTGTGCTTCCTGCAGAACCATTGTAAGGGCTACTAATGGTGTTCACAGACTGCGGAGCTGGAACAGCCACCCGTATGCCTACACACACGCTATTAATAACCCTCTCCAGGCTTCCTGAGGCAGCCAAACCTACATAAAACAGAGTACAGCTGAGCCCCTTCTAGACCCTCTGGTGGGGAGAAATTGCTTCAATATGCGGCTATCACCTCAAAACAGACAACCAGACTCGGGGCAATCACCCTGTAAGCAGATGCTGGTGTTCGGACCTGTTGATAGCGTCAATGCATGTCATCTCGGGCCTTGGTGGGCTCCTTGTACTTCTGCATCTGCCCGGCTTCCTGCAGTAGCCGGAACATTCCCATTGTGCGGGAGCAAGGACGGCAACACCTGCCTCCCAGATGCGCTCTCTGCGCTGGGGACGACTTCAAACTGTGGACCTCAACAGGCAACCTGGGCCGACGAAAGGGAATCAAGCAATAGGAACGAGACTGGAATTAGTTTGTGTCCCTCGGCTGATACGCAAGGGGAAACATTCTGCTCAATCGATTTAATTAATGTTGATTATGGAAACTCTGGTCCCTGCCACTATGGAGTCTACAGGCGAATTGGGGAACTGGGGCGCCCACCTATGAACAATTGGACGATATGCAATGAAGCCCAGGTCAATGCCGGTTGCGGGCTGAGAGGGGAAATCCATTGCGGTAGGAGGCTGTGCTTCCGAACAGGGTGGTCGTCACCTTGATCCAGGCCGAAGGGGCCGGGCCTGGCAGAGCTGCTCGCTGGCGGGGGACATGAGCAGTTCTCTCTGGGGACCAGCCTGCGCCTCTTTGCTGTCTTGCAGGCCTGTATACTGTCTTCCTCTGTCGGGGTCGGAAGGTCCCCAGTCTGCCTTCCTCTGTTTCTGCCGCCCTCCTTACCTTGAAAGAGCCGTGACCTTTAACGACCTTGGTTACCCTTCTTCCTCCCCCCTAAACCCACTACCTCACCCTATTTTTGTTGTGTTGTTGTTTTATTTCAGAGAGAGGAAGGGAGAGGGAGAGAGGGGCAGAAGCAGCAATGATGAGAGAGAATCTTGGATCAGCTGCCTCCTGCACGCCCCACACTGGAGATCCAGCCCCCAAACCTGGCATGTGCCCTGACGGGAATCAAACCCTGACCTCCTGGTTCATGGGTCCACGCTCAATCACTGAGCCACACTGGCCAGCCCTCACCCTGCTTTGTTGAGAAAATATTGCCGGCAGATGAAAAAGATAGAATCGGGAGAAAACCTAGAATACCTCCTGTCAACAACAGTTAAGAGGATTTGTATAAATAGGTCGGAGCATACCTCAGGGGGCCGGCAGGGGTTTCCCGTGCAGGCTCCACCCCATGCGCTGGCACTGGAGTCCCCAGCACCCCTATGGGTGTTCCTGGAGACAAATACTTTTTCAGGCCAACTTTGGGTTTTATATATATATTAGAGGCCCGGTGCACAAAATTTGTGCAAGGAGCTCGGTCCTCACAGCCTCAGCTGCCCCAGCTAGCCCTCGCAGCCCCAGCTTCATCCAGAAGGTCGTCCAGACAGCTGTTCGGTCTAATTAGCATATTAGCTCTTTATTATATAGGATACTAGAGGCCCGGTGCACAAAATTCATGCACGGGGGGGGGGGGTGTCCCTCATCCCGGCCTGTACCTTTCCAATCTGGGACCCCTTGGCGGATGTCCGACTGCCGGTTTAGGCCCAATCCTGCAGGGCCAAAACAGGCAGTCAGACATCCCTCTCACAATCCAGGACCACTGGCTCCTAACCACTCACCTGCCTGCCTGCCTGATCGCCCCTAACTGCTCTCCCCTGCCAGCCTGATTGGCCCTAACCACCTCTGTCTCGGCCCCTGCCATCATGGCTTTGTCGGAAGGTCATCTGAAAGATGTCTAGTCTAATTAGTATATTACCCTTTTATTACTATAGATATATATGGCTGCAGACCCTGGGAGTCAAAAGGGAAAGATGACACCTCCCCAGCCTCTTGAGTTTTCTTTCAAGAGGGTTCTCTCTGCAGAATATTCTGTTTTAGCTGGTGATTAAAGAGGGGCCAAACGGTCCCGGGCAAAGGGTTTTCCTTCTGGCCAAGCCCGTCTCTCCCAGAGAAACAGGCCCAGGCTGGGCCTGGGACCGCCCTCCTCACCAGAGCCAACTGCTCCTAGTAGGTGAGGGTCTGGTCCACCTCAATTTCCATGTGTTACCTTCCTAGGGGGTGCGAGGCCCAGCCATCTGGACGCAGGCCCAGCCGCCCAGGACTGTGCACACCCAGGTCTCTGCTCTCCTGCCGACACCAGCGACCACCCAGCCCAGCCGGACCACATGGCCCCCCGTTCTCCTGATGTATGAGGTGGGTAGAAGGCGCTCCCGTCAAAACGGAGGACGCCAAGGGATTCATTCGTTTAAATCTGTAAACATGCGTCGTTGTAATTATTACTCTAGCTGCTAGTTGGAACTGAACTGGCCCAAAGGACAGACGTTTGCAGCGCTGCCTCTGCGGGCAGGTACCTTGGCTTTTCCGGAATTTCCAGTCTGGCTGCGGGGGGTGGGGGGGGTGGGGGGGTGGAGGGGGGACAACCATCCAGGAGCTCAGCAGTGCTGGGCCCGGCAGAGCCTGAGCTGTGCTCACTGCACTGGAGGGTGAGGAGGCCCAGCACCCGCCGGCCACCCACCACCGGGCTCTGGGTGTGGGTTCCAATCCCTCCAGGAAGGGGGGGCATCTGCGACCTGCGGGGACGCTGTGTGTCTGCGGCGGGGCCCAGTCCCTCCTGCTCCCCTGGGAAGTCGGAGGCAACACGGCAGCCGTGCCCAGGGCGTGCGGAGACAGGATGACAGCCTGCCACTGAGCTCACCGCTGCTTCTTAAATATCTGCTCAGTATGTACTGAGACGAAGGGCTGAGAGCTCTGAAGACACACAGGGCCCAACAGGAGGAAAGGCCGGGGATGGGGCGCCTCCATCGCTCCCCGACCTCCAGAGGATTCATTTCTGGCTGAAATTGTCAGTCTCCTCACAGTAAAACGAAAGCCCCGCTATCAGAGGCAATGGCCCTCAACCCTAAGTCCTGGCTGTGCAGCTGTGCCCTCCCCCTCCCAGCCCCTGTGCAGCTGTGCCCTCCCTCTCCCGGCCCCTGTGCAGCTGTGCCCTCCCTCTCCCGGCCCCTGTGCAGCTGTGCCCTCCCTCTCCCGGGCCCTGTGCCCTCCCTCCCTGGATGCTTCTCCTGAGGGAAGTCTGGGGGAGACTGAGGCCTGGGCCTCCGCAGTGGTTTCTGGGGCGTTAGGCCTTCGCTGGCTCTCCTGGCTGAAAGGAAGTGTGGTTTCTTTCCAGTGCACTGAGAGGCGGGAGCCTCTGCATCCAGCAGGGGGTGGCCCTGTGCCTCTCGCCCCCGCCCACCCCTCCCGGGGCCTGAGGCCTCCCAACCTGTCAGAGGGGCCATGACTTGGAGGTGCAGGAAGTTGGGGAAGGTTAATTCTGGCTTCTTCCCTGATGCCCCTTGCACAAGCCCTCGGTCATCTCCCCGGGCTCGAGGTGCTGCTGTGACACTCGGTACGATGCCCAGGTTCCCAGCTGTCCCCCATGTCCCCATGGCTCCCGCACTTCCCCTGCGCCCCCTCCCACTTCCTTGAGCCGCCTGGAGTGGGTCCTCGCATCCAGCATGATCGTCTTCCTTCGTCCCTTTGAGTCCCGAGTGAACACCCGAACCCCTTTTCACGTAACAATGGCCAAACTGTTACCCAGAACGCGAAATACGTGGCAGGAAGGAAGGCCCCGCTGGAGTGAGCAGTGTTTTGCAAACACCCACCTCCGGACAGCCCTGGAAACACCTGTTCTCGGAGCGTTTACAGCACAGGCTGTGCTGGAGGCCCCGGGGGACAGGGAGCCGCCTCCGCGCCCATGGACGGAGGGTGCAGTGGGGGGCGTAGTAATCACACCACATCACTTTTAAGAAGAATGTCTCCTTGACCAGTGGCACCCTCACCAGTCAGCACTGTGCGGTGGGCGTGCACAGGAAGCGTGTGTTCCTGTGTGGAAGGCGGCAGCACCCTGGTGGCAAGACCCTCCCTCTGTGATGAAGCGGGGCCAGGACCCTGTCCTATCGGCTTTCCTACCCAGTGTCACCCCCCGCCCCGCCCCGTCCCACGCGGCAGTGAGGCACCCAGGCAGGCCAGGATGCCCGGAACCCGGGGTGCCCGCAGCTCCCCCCGCTGAGCCCCGGGCCCCCTGAGGTGGGGCTGCCCGCTGCTAACAACACTCACTGCGGGTGAGAGCAGTCCAGGAGCTGTGGCTTCTCTTTTCCGTGTGTCTTGACCTTAGAGCACAACTATTTTATCCCCCCCGCCTGGTTCAGGTCCTTGCCTTCAACCGGCTGACCGTTGTTGCCATTTCTTGTAAGTTTTGATGCTCCGCAATATGCACTTTGTTCCATAATAAATGAATGAATAGTTTTACTTAAAAAATCAAAATGGTGCCAGGCCAGTGTGGCTCAGGGGTTGAGCGTTGAGCCATGAACCAGGACCCGGTCAGGGCTCATGCCCGCGTTGTGGGCTCCATCCCCAGTGTGGGGCGTGCAGGGGGCAGCCGGTCCATGATTCCCTCTCATCGCGGATGTTTCTAGCTCTCCCTCTCTCTCTCTCTCTCTCTGAAATCAATAAAAGTCAAAATGGTCTAGAAGGGAGTGCTATTAGAAATGAAAGTGCTTCTCCCCAGCCTTGACCCTGAGCTCCAGTTCCTAGAGGCGACACTGTGAGCAGCTCCTACATACAGAGCTTCTGACGGGCTCTCTGCCCGACCAGGGGCATCTGCTTCCTTCTCACACAGACGGGCCACACTGAGCCCCGAGCCCGGACCCCTCCCCATTAGTGCCTGGAGGTGCATTTAACCTTCCAATGGCGCGAACTATTCAATCGCACGGGGGCCGCGACTTAACTAGCCTCTTAGTGAAGGGCATTGAGCTTTCACCCAGTGTTTCCCCCCACGAATAGTCCGTGCGGACTGGCTGTTCTGTGGCGTGTGCCTTTGCTTGCTTTGAAGAGTGTAACGATGGGATGACTTTCCAGCCGAGGGTTGAAGAGTGTTCACAATTCACATTTCGATCATTATCGTCCAATTGCTTTCCGAACACAAGAGCCCAACAGCAGGTAGTGCCACCGGGCATCTTCTAGAAAAAGCAAGTGGCCAACTCAGGTATCGGAAAATGGAAGTCGGGGCGCGTGAGGAGTCCCCCACACCCAGGCCCGCCGTGGGGGCGGCCCAGCCAGGAAGGGTGCAGTTATGGACAGCCCCCTGCGTTTCTCTTCTGAAGCTAAACCTATCCGATTGGGGCAATATTTTCTTTTCACTGCGGCCACATGAATCCATCCTGTCCCGGTGTGTGTGTGTGTGTGTGTGTGTGTGTGTGTGTGTGTGTGTGTGTGTGTTGGGCAAGGGGCGCCGCTGGGGGTGATGGCACAGGGTCTCTGAGTGTTGATGAGCTGCGGGGGGATGTTCTCAGGTGAGAGGCTGGGGCTCCCCGACGAGAGCTGTTCTTAGGATTCCTCCCCCCTCCAGTCACCCCGTCCTTCACAAACTGCTCTGTCGTTCGGCCTTTCCTGTTGTCCACTTGGAAATTACTACGGGGGGGTGGTTCGTACGGTCCTCGCTCCGGGGTTCGCTCCCCCACAGCTCAGGGCGGGCCTCCTGCAATGCTCCCCCCTCTCTGGGTGAAAGGCTACTTTCAAAAAGTCCCGTCTCGTATGGACCCGTGCTTTTGTACAATGCTAGAAATATGCAGCTGCCAGAGAATGAAATAAGGAAAAAAGGCGTACAAAATGCAAGCCCGGTTTCTTTTTGTTGGATTTACGCGACAGGATTAATCCGTCCTTTGCGATCCAAGCTTTGAAGGGCCTGCTCTCCCCGGAGAGGGGCGGTCTGTGTGGCCCGCCCCGTGCGCAGCCAGAGTTCCGCTTCCCGGGGGCCCTGCGCCTCTCACTTCGCCGGGGGAGCGAGTCTCATCCACCAGGGAACGTGGTCAGGTTTCCGCCAGGAGGCCCTGGGTCGGTGCCCAGCGCGCACTGAGCTTGGGCTGAAGCTCCGAGCTCTGCCAGGGCCCCTCGCGCCCAGCGGCCGGGTCCCGGGCAGGAGCCGTGTGCAGGGACCATGGTCGCTGTCTTCGGCCTGGACGACGTGGTCTCTTTCCACAGGTTTCCCTGTTTATTTGGTCTAAGTGGACATCAGCCTTCTCTTTCCTGTCCCTTCTCTCTAACCCGCTGCCGACGAGCCACGTGTGAAACTGGGCGTGCGGCTGAAAGGGAGGTGATAGCACTTTTTCTATTGCATCAACCATCCAACCGTCTCAGTTCACTTTTTAAAAAAATATATTTTATTGATATTTTACAGAGAGGAAGGGAGAGGGATAGAGAGTTAGAAACATCGATGAGAGAGAAACATCGACCAGCTGCCTCCTGCACACCTCCCACTGGGGATGTGCCCGCAACCCAGGTACAGGCCCTCGACCGGAATGGAGCCTGGGACCCTTCAGTCCGCAGGCCGGCGCCCTATCCACTGAGCCACACCGGTTTGGCTCAGTTCACTTTTTAAACAGCTTTACACCTTGGGAGATACTTCGGATAGGCCTCCATACAAGGAAAATAATGAGCAACAGCTCCTGAAAACAGAGGGTTTTTGTCTTTTGTCTGTGAAAGGGGTGCAGGACTGCAAGTTTAAAGACTTAGAAAACTGGTTTTCAGATTTCCTTTTGGAACCTGAAGTGTCAGGTCACAGCGGCATCTAGCGGACGTTGGTGATATGACAGTTGGAGTGGACTAGACAGAAAATGACAATACAGTCATTTTCAAGCGCTGGATTTCATCGATTACAAGACTCAGGTTATTTCTCCTGCTTTGAACATTTTTACATTGGGATGCGGCTTGTAACATGTGACATGGCATCTTTTTTTCTCAGTGATACTTTGTCTTACAATTGTTGACATCTTAGTTTCATCAAATTATGATCTTTGATAAGGAATTTTGTAGGATGTTCACTTAGGAATTCATTGTTTATGGATCACCTGCTTTGTATGCATTGATGATGAGAGAGAATCATTGATTGGCTGCCTCCTGCACACCCCACATTGGGGATGGAGCCCACAACCTAGGCATGTGCCCTGACCTGGGAATTGAACCTCTTGGTTCATAGGTCAGTGCTCAACCACTGAGCCACGCTGGCCTGGCCTTCCTCCTGCTCTCAGCTCGCTGGGAAAGGGCAGGAGATTGTCCAGCACATCAAGGAAGCCTAGACCATTAGCCCTTCCAGCCTGCCGCACGCAGCCTCGACAGCTGTGGGTGCAAGGTCGAGGCCTGGGATCTGTGTTTAA